CCGACCGCTACACCAACGCCTGCACCGACGGCTCCGCCCAGTTCTGGGCTCATGTGGGGGGCCATTTCGGGCCCGTGCGTGCCAGATGGCGCATGCGTCCAGAGCCCGAACTCTCCGCAGTACTCCAGCAGCAACCAGCAGCGCAGAGTCGAGATCAAAGCGGCGAGCGCAGCACCGATCATCGTGGTCGACGGATGGAAGACATTCAGCGGAAGGCGCCGTCGCCCGCATGGGTTCACACCATCGTCCAGCATTCCCGTCCGCCTTCAGCGCCACGCGGCGCGGGTGGAGGCTGTGCGAGCCAGGTCGCCGGCACCTTGGCGGAGGCCCGACGAGCCCGCCGAGAGCCCGTGTGGGAGCGGGCGGCGGCCTCCGATGCCCACGCGGCGGCGGAGGTCGAGGCGGACCTCGAGGCGAGGCGGAGGGTGCTCGTTTGAGTGGGGCGCTGGCTGCTGACGGCGTGGCCGAAGGAGGAGATGTCTTCGATGCTCGTTTCGGGGACCTTCCTGGGGCCCACCTGATGGATCTGTTCGCCTCAGGTTCGACTCAAGTTCGAGTCAGGTTCGACTCAAGTTCGACTCAAGTTCGACTCAGGTTCGACTCAGGTTCGACTCAGGTTCGACTCAGGGTCGACCCAAATCGACTGATGTTCGACGCAGCTTCGACGCACGAGTGGAGCGAGTGGCTCCAGGAAGGTCCCCAGAATGAGCATCTAAAGATGTCCCCGGCAACGGTGGCGGCCGACGTACGGTTCATGGCGCTGACCTCCCAGGCAGCGAGTGGTTCCTTCTCCGATGCGTCGGCACGGGGAGACGTCGATGGGGAGTTTCACGGCGCCGTTCGAGGATGCGTGGCCGCGGGGTTGACTTGCGCTGTCCGCTGCCTCATCTTCTTGGGGCCGACGCTTCTAACCACAGCTTTGAATCTGCTCGCGCTCGTGTTTTCTTTTCGCTGATGCTTTGCGCGCTAGCCATCATGTCAGTATATGTATCCACCCTGTGGCCAGAGTGGTGTGTAGTTCTACGTATATATATATGTATATATATATATACAGTTTCGTGTTATTATGTATGTAGGCATGTATGCATGCATGTACCTTTGTATGTTTGTATGTATACATAGATATATAGATGGTTTCATGGTCGTTTGTTTGTTTGTGTGTGTATGTATGTATGTCTGCCTGTCTGCCTGCCTGCCTGTCTGCATGTATGTATACATGTATGTATGTCTGTCTGTCTGTCTGTCTGTCTGTCTGTATGTATGCACGCATGCATTCATGCATGCATGCATGCATGCATGTGTGTGCACGTATGCATGCATGTATGCATGCATGCATGCATGTATGTCTGTCTGTCTGTGTGTACGTATGTATGTATATATGTACGTATTTATGTATGTATGCATGCATGCATGCATGTATGTAGTATGCATGTATGCATGTATGCATGTATGTATGTATGTATGTATGTATGTATGTATGTATGTATGTATGTATGTATGTATGTATGTATGTATGTATGTATGTATGCATTCATGCATGCATGTATGCATGTGTGTAGTGTTATCTACATCCACAGCACCCTCTACTCGACATGGCCCCTTCCCGAGTATCTAGTAAGACGATCCGTGGTGTGCAGTACATGTGTATACATGCTAGTTCGAACAGCTGCTATTTCACGGCATATCTGTTTATCCCACGACTGCTTGGACTTAGTTCAAGTCTGTGCATCTGTATTCCAGCATGTTCGGACAGGCAGGGATAGGGCATCAGAAGTTTCACCACATTGTCGCCTGGTTTTCCTCAAGCTGACAGACGGCGCCGCGGACAGTCAGCGAGCTGACAGGCCGCAGTCATTGTGCAGCGGGCTCGGGGGATTTCGCGTGGCTTCTGTTGTGCCGGCAACGCAGACAAAGGAGGGGGAGTGGGGGAGGGAAGGATGGGGAACAGCATCGATCAATCATTCACAGAGCACCAGGTCTATTCCTCACTCCTTCCTTCTTTTGCACTTCTTCCTCATCTTTTGCGGCTCGGAAGCAGTGATTCTAGATTTTCAGTGGCTTGCGACGCACGCTTCATGACTAGTGCAGGGTAACCTCCAGCTGTGATGAGATAACTCTTCAGTTTCTTGCGACGCACGCTCCATGAACAGTGGATGATCACCTTTTAGATACATGCGTGTAAAGATGGCCACAGATTTTTGGACGTCCACGTGGAGCATTCGTATGACAAAAAGAGCCGCCGCCATTCCATGCAAGTTGTCTGCGAATTTAAATGTCAGCTCGTACAGCTGAACTAAGAAAGTCTTCGAACGAGAGCCCAGATTTGAAAAAGGAGCCGCCCTCCATCCGTGCCGCTGCAGCATTCTTTTGTTTTGGCAAGGATTGCGGATATCTTAGAGAAAGCATTTCAGGTTGAAATGAAGTGTCCTCCATACGTGTAGCTACTGGAAATGTTTAAGGCCGTATCTACGCTGCACTAAGTCGAGAGCCACATTCTGAACACGACCGCCCTCCACCCGTGTTATTGCTGAAACCGTGTGAATCGAATGTGCTTGAGCCAAGGCGAGGGGCACATGTTGAAAAAGAACTGCTCTGCATTTGTGTGGTTTGTTGCAAGTTTGTAATAAAACAAGTGGGCACGGCGCCAGGATGAGAGATATTTTGGAAAGGAGTCGCCTGGCACCAGTGTAACAGCTGGGAACTCTTAAAGCGAATGTGCTCGGCGCTAAGGCGATAGCCACATTTTGAAAACAATTCCCCCTCCATCCGTGTATCTACCGGAGCGTGTCACTTGACGAAATGTGCGCGGCGCTGAGGCGATAACCACATTTTGAAACCACTCTCCTCCATCCATGCAGCTGTTGAAAACTTCCAGCTCTGGTGGCGTAGACGGGGCGGAGATCTCAGGCGAAACGCTTGGCCCGCCCTACCGACGCGTCTGGTGGTCAGACCAAGAGAAGTTATATTATAAGCAATGGAGGATGAGGAGGAGGAGGAGGAGGAGGAGGAGGAGGAGGAGGAGGAGGAGGAGGACGAGGACGAGGAGGAGGAGGAGGATGGGGAGGAGGAGAAGGAGGACGAGGAGGAGGAAGGGGAGCAGGAGGAGGAGCTTTCGTAGCTCTCGGACCAAGCGCAGGAACACCAGTGGTGAAACTGCGGATTCGGCCTCGCTCCGCCGGCTCACGGGCTTCCGCCGCCCACCGCTTGCGAGTGGTCGCACGGGGAGCCGCTTCAGACGCGAGCTGGCCTGCAGCAGCCGTCGCCGCCGCCGCCTCGCGACACGCCACCCTGTCCGCCAGGGCCGCGAGCCGCGGGCCCGCTGCAGGATCCAGGCGTTGCTGGAGCATCGCGCCCGGCCGACGCAGCAGGCCTGGCGCGGGCTCGCTTCGTGGCAGCAGCGGCCATCGCGCGTGTGCTGCTCGATGGCGTGTTGTGGTGCGCGCAGGCATCACGACCGAACGCTGCACAAGGCTGAGGTGCTCGCGAGGGCTGCGGTGGTTGTTGCCTGGGGCACGCTACGGGCTAGGGTTATGATGTTCCAACCTACTTTGGATCACCAGGAAGAATTTCGAGCGCTCCAAAAAGTGCCGAAACGCGAGGGTTTTCACGTGTCGGGCCCTGGGAGACTCGCCCTCGGGCGAAGGGAACTATGCACATGCACCGATCCTGGCAAGGCCCATCCCTGACCCAGGATCGGTGCATATACCTTCCTAGCCAAGGTAGGAGGGCGTATGCACCGATCCTGGGCTCAGGATGAGCCTGGCCAGAATCGGTGCATGTGCATAGTTCTTTTTCCTCTATCGCCCGACACTGTTTTGACACTGTTTCGACGCACTTTCCAGGGTGCTCGAAATTAAATTATATCTGGGATGTGGTCCTTGCGTAGGATGGGAATAACATAAGGCTAAGGGGGTCCGCTACATCCCTCCAGCCGCGGTGGGTCGCAGACTTTTTTGGGGGGCGGGGCTGTCGCCGTGGACTCGGGCATGCCCCCAGCAGCCGCGCCTGCGCGCTCTCTGGCACCGCTCCCCGAGGGCTCACCAGGCTGGCGCCGTCGTCCGCAGCTGCCACGCCCAAGCTCCCAGGCGGACCAGGGGAGGCTTCCACCAGAACTGCCGGTCAGGAGGAGGAGGAGGAGGCAGGAGGAGGCAGGAGGAGGAAGAGGAGGAAGAAGAGGACGATAATGATGATGATGATGATGATGATGATGATGATGATGATGATGATGATGATGATGATGATGATGATGATGATGATGATGATGATGATGCTGATGCTGATGATGATGATGATGATGATGATGATGATGATGATGATGATGATGATGATGATGATGATGATGATGATGATGATGATGATGATGATGATGATGATGATGATGATGATGATGATGATGATGATGATGATGATGATGATGCTGATGATGATGATGATGATGATGATGATGATGATGATGATGATGATGATGATGATGATTTGGAGGAGGAGGAGGAGGAGGAGGAGGAGGAGGAGGATCAGAGGAGGAAAAGGTACCCATACTGCTATCCTTCAATTTGTTTTACACTTTTTGGCTTCCTGGGTGGCCCTCGTCGCCACCGCTGGATTCGCCTCGACATCTGGTCAGAACGCACCCCGGAAGAGGTCTGGGGACTAGCGGTATCGGTACCTTCGTACCGTTTGGTTTCTGCAGAGGAGGAGGAGGAGGAGGAGGAGGAGGAGGAGGAGGAGGAGGAGGAGGAGGAGGATCAGGGAGGCTCGATGATCCTCAGGACGCGTGTTGGCCCAGTGTGTGTGTTCGCCCGTCGGACTCCGCCGATGGCACGCCGCCCGGGTCGGCCCCATAGTTGCACGGCCTGCGCCGCGTTGGGGGCCCTCGGTGGACGAGCACACGCTGGCGCCAACGCACGCTCCGAGGCTTGTCGGGCGGCAGAGGGCGTGGGAACCTCTCGGGGCCCGTGCGGCGGGCCCTCGGGGCCCGCCGCCGCCGCCGCCGCCCCGAGGCGTCGCCGCCGCTGCAGCTGCTCCTCCGCAGGTCTGACGGCTCCCTGTCGGGGCTGCTGGGCTCGGGCGCGGACTGGGAGGCGGCACCGCCACCGCTCCACGGGCAGCGTCGTCGTCGTCGTCGTCGTCGTCGTCGTCGTCGTCGTCGTCAAACGAAAAGGGGAAGAATGAGGAGGAGGAGGAGAAGGAGGAGAAGGTGGAGTGACAAGGGGGGGGAGGGGAAGAGGAGGAGGAGGAGGAGGAGGAGGAGGAGGAGGAGGAGACGGAATAGGTGGAGGAAGAAGAAGAGGAGGGGAGGGGGAGGAGGATGAGTAGGAGGAGAAGGAGGACGAGGACCAGTGTCATTCCGGACCGCACCAACGATGGAACAACAATACCTCCTTCCAAGCTCTCTCGTCATAGGCCCTTACAAGATTCACTTCCACTGAGGGAAATGCCCCTTTGGAAGACAACCGTATTCAACTTTTGAACCGTGCCAGCCAGAGCATTATTCTTGGGGATCCCACGCCACGAACCAACCTTATTACTGCGTCGCGACGGTCCTGAATGGTGCCATACCACCAATCCTGGGACTTCAACACCGCGAATCAACGCGGCTGTTGCGCCTTGACAGTCTTACATTGCTCCAAAACACCATTTCTGGGGCGTTAGCCATTCGACTGATTGAAGCTCTTGCAAATGCTGGAAACGACTACGCGCAAGAGGCCCGTTGGGTAGCATGTGCGCATGTGATGAACATGTGGGAAGCGCTTAGTGGCTTGCAGAACTAACAAGAGCGAGCGCGCAGACATGCTGCGACATTTGATGTAGCAAAACCAGGTGCTTTATATGTTCTTGGGGTACTCGATTGGACATCCATACGACACTGAAGGTTTCTTGACGGATCTCAGCATGCGCGCGTGACGACGCGCGCTTGTGTATTGCGTCCCGTTTTTCGCAACGGATGGTTTCTTGATAGTGGGTGATTTTTTGATGTGCCAGTGTGCGCGCATAGTGCTTTTTTGCAGACCATGGTGTTTATGAATGTGTGTGTGTGTGTGCGTGTCTGTGTGTGTGTGTGTGGGAGGGTCGATACCAGCCAGGCTGGGATGATATGAATTCATAGCTGGAGTCGGCGATGGGGCAGAATTTCAAATAAATTGTGCATCCCTAGGGCGGGGGGATACCCTGGGGGGGGGCTCGATCCGAATTCTTGTTTTAGAAAGGAGAATCCACCCTGCCGAACCTGAAGTTGTCAAGTCCACTGCTCGCGCAATCATCCCATCCGCCCGCCCGCAGCTTGGTTTGCAAAACTCATGTGGCGGCGATTGCGATGCTTGCCTGGCGCTGGCTGGTGCATCGCTGCGGCCTCGCTAACGCACGCAGGCTCGCCTTCAGGGCGGCCAGATGGTATGGCGCGACCGACGCGGCCGCGGTGGCGCGGCCCGCTGTGGACTCTTTGGCGCGTCTCGCAGGCCGCGGTGACAAGCGGGCACTTCAGTGCGAGTCGGTGGCTCGGGCGGGCACGGTATCATGGCGACGTCGAAAACGGCAGACGTGATGATGATATTAGCAATGATGTTGACGATGATGACACTGACGACGGCAAATGACGGCGCCGATGCTGACGATGGCGATTCTGGTGTCCACGTGCCAGTGATGAAGGTTTTGGGAAGATTTCGACATGCGCGCGCGGCCGACGCGCGCGAGTGGTCCGCATTCAGATGTTTTAGGTGGATCGTGCCCCCCTCCAGCACGCGCGCAAGGGAGTTCGACAGATTCCGACATGCGCGCGTGGAAAGCTTGTTCAGGTGCGTTCGGTGAACAGGTTGGGAAACCGATAGTTGTCGTAAGGATTCGCAAGGGCGCTCTCATATCCTTGTTGAGGATCCATGAGGCATTTTGTATGTTCCGGGGCATTCGGTTTTGAACTTTTTTACGAAGCTAAGGTTTTTGACTGATTTCGACATGCCGCACGCGTGTGCACCCAATCTTCCGTTGTTGGGTTCTCGTTTTCAATCGAGCACAGTGGTCGCGTCCGTCTTTCGCGCCTCCTCTTTTTGTTTTCCCCAATTCTCCTTGGTTAGGTGTTCGTTTCGAACAACACTGTGGTCTCCACGTCTTCCTCCTCCTCCCGCCTCCCTCTTCATGCCTCCTCCTGCCCTTGCTTTTTGCTTTATTCCCAACCCCCCTTGGTTGGGCATTCGTTTTGAACAAAGCGCTGTCGTCGCTGAAGGGCCCAGCGGAGTGACGTCTTACCCAGATTCAGATTCGATCTCGCCATCCTTGGGGGTCTGCGATCTGCGAAACTGTCGCCACTTTCGAGGGGTGTTGGTGAGGCAATCGTATAGTGTCGCCCCACCTAGGCTCAGAGTAGATCCCGCCATCTCAAGGGGGCTGCGATCTGCGATGCCGTCGCCACTTTCGAGGGCTGGTGTGGGGGCCCAGCAGGGTGACGTCCTCGCCATCTCTGGGGGGCTGTGATTTGCGAAACTGTCGCCGTTGTCGAGGGCTGCTGGGCCCACGCGACACAATCAGAGAGCGCGCAGGAGTGCGCAGGAACGCCCAAGAGCGCCCGGCAACGCCTGGGAAACCTGGTCTCCAGGCCTTATGAACCTGAGAACACCCATGCCTCTCGGAGTAATTCTATGCTTTCGAGACAGCCGAGTCTGAAATCCTTGCGGGGCGCATTGTTTTCGAAGGATTCCGGGATGCGCGTGCGACGACGCGCGCGTGTGCAGTTCGTCCCAGTTCTTCGTGATGGATTATTGCGATAGCTTTCGCAAGATGGCGTTCGAAAGATTTCGACACGCACGCGCGAGAGGCACGCTTGGTATTATTCGATGAGCATGTTGAGAAAAACACGTGTGGTTTCTTTCAGAATTCGCGAGATCGCGAGCGCATGTTTGTTTGAACATTTCCGTTGCGAAACCGTTGGTTTTATACGTTTTCGGGACTCGATTTAGAACCCCACGAAAACCTACGGTTCTTGACGGATCCGGCGTGTTCGCGCGACGACGTGCACGTGTGAGTCCCGTTTGTTGTGCAGGTGTTCGTGAGCAGCAGATTCAGTGTGAACGCATCGTATGTTTTGCTGGGATGGTACGAGTTCATTTGTAGGATGGACGATGGGGCAGAATCGTCTGTAAATTGCAACACGGGAGTGCAGTTCGTTAGGACCAGGGTGGTGGTGGTGGTGGAGGTAGATATCCATGTTCTGTTATCAAGAAGAATGTTTGTGATGCAATCTATATGAAACAGCCTATGTGAAGCAATATACGATGTGCAATATATGTGGTGCACTCTATGTTGTGCAATATAGGCAGAGCAATCTATGTTGTGTAATCCATGTGGTGCAATCTATGTTGAGTAATACATGTTGTGCAAACTATCTGGTGGAACCTATGTGGGGCGATGCATCTGGTGCAACACACGTTGTGCAACATACATTTGTATATACATATATATATATATATGTATATATATATATATATATATATGCGTACGTGTATATGTATATATATACATATACATATATACATAATCGGAGGTGAGGGGGTGAGATCGAAGTGGAACGGAGAGACCCCCTACCGGGAAATCGGTTTCGGTTTCGTGATCGTGCGTGCCGTGCGTGCGGGCGAGGCGAAGTTGCGTGGGCGGGCGAGAAGAAAGTCTCCTGTGGCTGAGGCGCGGCCGGACCAAAAGTCTCCCTTCCGGCGTCCGGTGCCGCGCGGTGTCCCGCCGGTGTCCTGCTGTGGCTGAGGCGCGGCCGGACCAAAAGTCTCCCTTCCCGAGTCCCGTGCTGCGCGGTGTCCCGCCGGTGTCCCGTCGGTGTCCCGATGATGATGATGATGATGATGATGATGATGATGATGATGATGATGATGATGATGATGATGATGATGATGATGTCCCGATGATGATGATGCTGATGATGATGACGATGATGGTGTTCCGATGATGGGGATGATGATGATGACGTTGATGATGACGATGAGGATGAGGTGAAGATGATGATTTTGATGGTGGTCGCCCGATGATGGTGATGCTAATGCTGATGTTGATGATGCGGATGGTGTTCCGATTATAATGATGATGATGATGATGATGATGATGATGATGGTGATGGTGATGATGATGATGATGGTGATGGTGATGATGCTGTTGATGATGATGGTGTCCCGGTGATGAAGAGGATGATATTGATGATGATGATGTTGCTGATGATGATGGTGTCTCGATGATGATGATGATAATTTGTTTCATGATGATGATGAGATGATGCTGATGGTGGAGTTCCGATGTTGATGATGATGATGATGATGATGGTGTCCCGATGATGGTGCTGCTGATGATGATGATGATGTTGGTGATGATGGTGAGGATGATGGTGTCCCGATGATGATGATGGTGATGATGATGCTGATGATGATGGTGATGAAGTGATGATGATGGTGTGTCGATGATGATCATGATGATGATGATGATGATGATGACGATGATGATGATGATGATGCTGATGATGATGATGATGATGATGATGACGATGATGATGATGATGATGATGATGATGATGATGATGACGATGATGATGATGATGATGCTGATGATGTTGATGACGTTGATGACGATAATGTTGATGATGATGATGATGACGTTGATTGTGAGATCGAGTGTGATATCGATCGTGAGATCGATAGTGAGACCGAGTGTGAGATTGATTGTGAGATCGATAGTGAGATCGATCGTTTGATCGATCGTGATATCGATAGTCAGATCGATTGGGAGATCGATCGAATGAAATAGATCGAGTGAGATAGATTGTGAGATCGATCGAGTGAGATCGATCGAGCGAGACCGATAGTGAGATCGATAGTGAGATCGATAGTGCGACCGATCGAGTGAGACGTTGGTTCCTCCCCCCCCGAACCTCCTTATCACCCGAAGGGTGGTCGAATAGGTACATATATAGTGCGACCCGTGTTGAACAATCTAATGTGGCGCAATCTATGTTGTTCAACAGAGCCGTCAGACCGACCTTGAGGACCAGAGGACGGGCGGCGACGAGGTGCCGACGTGGCGGCGACGGCGACTACACAGCCGCAAGACCGACCTTCAGGGCCAGTTCCTCAGAGCACAGGCAATAACCCCTGAATGCAGGCACTGTTTGGGCAAAAGGGACGGAGGAGGAGGAAGTGGAGGAGGAGGAGGAGGAGGCGGAGGAGAAGGAGGAGGAGGAGGAGGCGGAGGAGAAGGAGGAGGAGGAGGCGGAGGAGGAGGAGGAGGAGGAGGACGGCGACGACGATGAGCAGCAGGTCAGCATCGTCGAACCTCCTCTCTCCATCCCCGCTGGGCCACTGGATCTCAGCCCCGCCAGCCCACCCGCTCAGGTGGGGACACGCGAAACTGGAAGGAACATGCCTCATACCCCCCCCGGGTGGGAAAGTCGGCCAGTGGGGCGAAGGCCGCGCCAGCGGGGATCGGGATCGGTGAACTGATGCTCAGCAGGAGCAGGACTGGCCTGGACCAAGTGAGCACCCCTGATCAGGCCAGAACTCGCGCAGCAGATCCGCAGGGAGGGGAGCTGCTTGGGGGTACCCCTCTGGCCAGCCCTGACAGGACGCTGGCGCCAGCTCCAGGGGGCCCCGTCGGCGGAGCAGGAGCAGAAGGGACAGGAGCAGCAGGACCACAGCCAACCCGCACAGTAAGGATGAGCAACCTCCAGGGTTACCATTGCATCCTTTCTCCTTCGGCCCATCCTTGGCCGCCTTCGCTGGCCGCGTCCCGCTCGCAGCGTGTCGACATGGCCTTCCGAGGCCCTTGCAGCCTTATCGTGCGTCCTGTTTAGACGGGGTAACTTCAGGAGGGGAAAAACACACAGACACAATTAATCGTCGATTCCCCGGAAAATATGGGAAAATATGGGAAGTGGGGGGGAAGACAGAAGCCCAGATAATATTGGAAAATATGGGGACATGCTTGATTTGTGTGTATCTATTTGTGTGTCCCAGGGCCCCTTCATAACTTGCAGGTGCAGCGGGAGGCCGCGGGCGACAAAACGGCGGCGACGACGCGGGCGGCGCGGCGACGGGCCGCGAGGGGCTCGGGCGCCCGGGGCGCCTGTCGCTGCTGCGGGACGCGGCGCGCGGGCTGGCCGCCTTGCACGAGGCCCTCGGGCGCCGGACGCCGCCGCGGCCGCCGTCTGCAGCACAGGGGGAGGAGAAGGAGGAGGAGGAGGAGGAGGAGGAGGAGGAGGAGGGGGAGGAGGAGGAGGAGGAGGAGGAGGAGGAGGGGGAGGGGGAGGGGGAGGGGGAGGAGGGGGAGGAGGAGGAGGAGGGGGAGGGGGAGGGGGAGGGGAGGAGGGGGAGGAGGAGGAGGAGGAGGAGGAGGAGGAGGAGGAGGAGGAGGAGGAGGCGGAGGAGGAGGCGGAGGAGGAGGAGGAGGAGGAGGAGGATGGCAGGTCGGCACTGCAAGCTCGAGGGGCACCCACGAGTCGTTTGAGGGTAGGCGTCTTCGGATGCGGCTGCGCGTAATTGAGTGGCCTTTCGGCGGGGTGGTCTTTGGGTGCGGAACCACGGGGGCTCCCCGATCGCGGAGCGCGGCGCGGTGGCAGCGGCCTGCGCGCGCAGGCTTGGCAACCCCATGCGGCCCCCTTGCGCCGCGCACCAAAGGTCACGCTTGCCTAGGGTCACTCTTGCGCTTCGCCGATGGATTCCCATATTCCAATCTACCTTGGGCGCCTTCCTGCTTCAAGGGCCGCCATCTCATCATCGTCCATGTCACCATCAATCTCATCATCTCCGCTCGTATGTTGCAACACAGCCAGGGACCGCAGGGGGCCCGCCGAAGGAGTCACGGCGGGCCCCCAGGGGGAAGCTTGCACGCAGATTTTGCAACCAGTGGGTGCTCGGGATACAGGCTCGTCGAGGGTCGGTGCCAATCGTTGCAGTGTCTCTTGGGGCCATGTTGGCGCCCCGTGGGGCGTCGAACGGCCTCGGAGCGCAGATCACCTGTCTTTTCTCGTGCCGCAGGCGAGCATGGGGCACGACATGCGTGAGGGGTGTGCCGATGCTAAGCGCCATGCCTGGGGGCGCACACTGCACTCATGTCAGCGTGCCCCAGGCGAGTATGAGGCAGGAAAACTCGTGAGGGGCGTACAGTCGGGACGCTGAGGAAGCAACCCTTTTCGTTGGGGAGGGGCTCGGTGTTCCTTAGCTGCGTTGCAGTTCGCCCTTGGTTTTGCTTAGGATTTCGATGGGAAATCGAAGTTCAACTTATGGGAAAAAGGGGCCTCGTTCCTCATTTAGGGTCCCTTAGGTCAACGCCCCTACTGTACCGAATCGAGACTTTTGTAGCCCTGGGGGTGCACACCACGTGTGCTCTTGCGTGCCCCCAGGGAGCACGGGGAGGGAACGGCGCGAGGGGCGTGCCACATCCAGGCTTTCGCAGCTCTGGTGGCGCAGATCGCTTAGATCTTCACGTGCCGCAGAACCTGTCACGGACGTGGGCCGGACCCTGGATGCGCACTTCACCTATCTCAGTTTTACGGTGCCCCACGAGCATTGCAGAGGATTTGACTCTTCGGGCCGGCGGAGTAGTCGAAGCCCTTCTTAGCAGGGTTGGACCTAAACGGTGTTTTGGCGATTTCGTGGGCCGTTTCCGTTTCGATGTCGTTTTGCGGTAAGGGTGAATCGGAGACAACACGAGGGAAAGCGAAAACAAAACGACAGCGAAAAGCACCGTTCAGGTTCAGCCCTGCTTCTTAGTATGCCTAACTCTTGCTTCTCCCTCTCCTCCATCATCCTCCATCTCGTCATCTATCCCCGAAAGCTAACCGCGGCGAGGGCCCGCCACTCCGCCGGCCCATACTCTGTAGCATTTGTTGGCACTTGCCTGCGTGGTCGCGGGGGCATTTTGGGGGCCTCGCGGGGCCTCTTAGATGCCCCTTGGGGCACTTTTGGAAGGGTCCTGGGGGCCTCTGGGGAGGCCTCTTGAGGGCCTTCTGGCAGTCTCGGAGGCCATTGGGAGCCGGCTCCCCCTCTTGGGCCCCTCTCGGGCCCGCCCCTCTTGGGTGCCTCTGGAGTCCGCTCGGGGGCCTGCTGGGCCAGTTTGGGGCCCCCTTGGGTCCTTTTGAGGTCCTCTCGGGAGGCTTTTTGGGCAGTGCTTCGGGGCCGCTGGGGGCCGCTTGGGGGCCCGGGGGCGGTCTTGTGGGCCATCTTTTGGGAAACGGCTCGACATGTGGGCTTCTGGAGCCCTATTGGGAGGCCTCTTGGTCCGCTCTGGCCGTCTTGCCGGCCTGGAACCTTCTCGGGCTGTCTCGGGGCGATCTGGGGAGATTCGTAGGCCGCCTTGGGCAGTCCGAAGCCCGAAGAGTCCCGTCTTGGAGCTTCCTGGGGTCGCGCCGGAGCGCTCCTGGAGCGCTCTGGGAGGCCCTGACAACCGCCCCTCGGAGGTCCGGCATCCTTGACGGGACCTGCCCGAGGTGCTTTTCGCCCGGGCGGCCCCCACGGGCGCCCCGCGTGCGCGAGCCAGAACCACTGTTAGCCTGTCGCTGGAGATGTTCGCGCGCCTGTGGCCCGTTGGGCCGACGAAATTCAATTCTTGTCGCAATTGCCGAGTGTCCTGGCCCAACTGCTCCTCGGGGGCAGCCTGGGCTTCGGCTGGCTCGCTTCTCACCGCCAGCAGGTCTGGCCGCCTCCTTCGGCGCGCCATGTGCGGAACGCAAGAAATGGTCCTCCCTCCCCCCTCCCCCCCCCTCTCCCCACCTCCCTCCTCCCTCTCCCCGCCTCCTCCCCCGCTCTCCTCCTCCCCCCCTCCTCCTCCCTCCTCCCTCCTCCTCCCCCACCCTCCCTCCTCCCTCCTCCCTTCCTCCTCCCTCCTCCCCGCCTTCGAGAGGCGGGCATCGCGCACCTGGACGTGAAGAGCCGCGCTCATAGAGCCCCCCCCGCGAGGAGCGCTGAAACCTGCAATGGTCGAATTCGCGATGAATGTGGATCTTCACAGATTGCGTTTTTTCGCATGGTTTTGGAGCATCTGCAGTGGCACTTTTGGGCGTTCTTGCAGAGAATGGCGCGTGGAAGCTAACGCCATGGGGTGTCGGGAGGTTTTGAGGCAATCGGCGGAATCAACATTTCACGCGGTGGTGACAGCTCTGGATCCGGCGTTGGAGGCAGTCTCTTGTAGCCTTGATTGCTTGCCCCCGCCGAAGAAATTGATGCGGCCCGTTGCGTGAAAATGATCATGCTTGTCCTACAAGTTTGTCAACCCGAGGAGGGTCGCGCCTGCCTAAACAAAGTCACTGTACTTCGTATTTTTGAACTGCTGAAGCTGGGTCATGCTGATGCTGGGCTATTCTGGGGTTATTTGTCCTGCCAGGTTGGCGTAGTTTACGTTTGCATCCTTGCACTCTTCTGTTTTGGCGTGTGTGTGTGTGTGTGTGTCGTGTGAGCTAGCAGCTACCCGCGCACGGCAAAGGATGCTCCCAGCAGCATGTTGATCGTCGCAAGGGCAACTCGCGATAGCTGAATCTTGGATGCGCACTGCGGGATGGCCTGGACCCCCTGGTCGAAAACGAGTACATATGTCTTGTGGGGGCTTGGAGTTCTTGAGGCGCCATTTGAAGACCCGCGGGGTTCCCTCAGCGTCAGGAGTAGCAGCATCGCTGGCCACGATGGTGTCCGTCGCGGGGGATCTTGTAGCTCTAGGGGGAGGTGGAGGGAGGAGGGATGAGGTCGGTCGTCATACGCTGCATTCCAGTAGTGTGTGTGTGTGTGTGTACCGATGAGGAGGGCGAGAGATTGGAGGGTCGGATCGACCAGATAGTCGCCCTGCCTGGCGGGCCCAAAGCCACCGTTGCCCCTACTAACCACCTGGGTGGAGGGAGGAAGATGAGTTGGAGGAGGAGGAGGAGGAGGAGGAGGAAGAGGAGGAGAAGGAGGAGGAGGAGGAGGGGGAGGGAGGAGGCGTTCTGGAGCTCTGGATAGAGCGACTGGGTCGATGACAGATAACGGCTGCTACCTGGACGGGCCTGGTAGAGCTACCCGCTGCCTGGCCTGCTGTATGGCCAGCTCAGCTCTGCTGTAAGCTTTGGGCCACAGGCCCCTCGAGATGCCAAAAACAAAAGTAATCTCCCTCGTCCTCCCTCGAGGGAGGGAGAACGAGGAGGAGGGAGGGAGGAGGAGGAGGAGGGAGGAGGATGAGGAGGAGGAGGAGGGAGGAGGACGAGGAGGAGGAGGGATGTGGGTGGGTGGGTGGGCTGAAGGAGGAGGTGGGTTGAGAGCTCCTGGGGGCCGCCGAGGCCACAACATCCTCGTGGAGCGCCGCGGGGTTTGGGCGGCTGGGCGGCGCGGCGGAGAGTCACTGGCGACGAGCATCGCAAGCCGCTGCGCCTCGCGGCCGAACGTCCTCGTCGCTGTCGACGTCGGCGATTTGTTCCCCACATCCTAACTCTTGGCATCGCTCGGACGTGCGGTTTTTTCCCTCGGCGAGGGCCATCGAGGAGCATCCTTGACCATTTTGCAAAACAACCACGCACGAAACCGAAAAAAACAAACAATGGACGTCCGAGCGATGGCGAGAAGTGGGTTTCGTGTTTTGCCTGGGCACCCCGCGCCGCAGGGGAACCCATGAGGAGGATCATCAGCAACAGCATCGTCGTCATGCTCACCATCATCGTCATCGTCCTCATCATTCTCACATTCTCAACAACACCACCCTCAACAACATGTCCGTCGTCATCACCGTCATCATCATCATCATCATCATCATCATCATCATCATCATCATCATCATCATCATCATCATCAGCATCAACATCATCATCATAGGCAGCATCATCATCAGCAACCGCATCATTATCATCATGATTAGTATCATCATTTCCATTATATGATTCATAATCGTAATCATCAGCGTCATCATCATCATCATCATCATATTCACCATCATGCTCGTCATCACCATCATCATCATCGTCATCATTATCAGCATCAGCATCATCATTACCATTGTCCTGACCATCACCATCACCATCATCATCATCATCATCATCATCATCATCATCATCATCATCATCATGATCAGCATCATCACCATCACCATCATCATCATCACCGTCATCCGCATCACCACCATCATCGTCAGCATCATCATCACCATCGTCATCACCATCATCATCATCACCATCATCATCATCATCACCATCATCATCATGGTCATCGCCACCGCCATCACCGCTCACACACATACATTAAGCTCTCTCGCAAAACCATGAACCTTCATCGTTGCACACTCATGTTGAGGAAGTCTGGAGCAGGAACCTCGTCTGGGAGTGAGTTGTGGGGGATTCTCAGGTGGGAGCCCATGGGTCATTCAGATCATGTTGCCAATCTGACGTCGCCATTCAAATTCTGTAACTGCTGTCACTTGTGGGCTCGTGAGGATTGAATCTGGTGGAAGTCTAGCGAGAGCATTCTCTGTGCGTTAATCGGCAGGAAGTCTCATGCGGGAGCTCCTTCATTTAGGGCCCCCCAGATCATGATACCGATCCGAGGGGGCCATCCAAACCTGATAGCTGTTGTCATTTTTTCTCCCTGGAAACTGAATCTGGAGGAAGTCTGGAGCGGGAGCCTCATCTGTTCGAGAATTGCGAGGCAGTCTCAGGCGGGAGCCTCTCATTTGAGGCCCATCAGATCCTGTAACCAACTCGCGGGGTGCATCCAACGCGTGTAACTGTCGTGTCTTTGAGTGCCCTGCGGTTTGAATATGGATGAAGTCTATGAGTGAATTGCGATGGAGCGGACGCTCCCCCCCCCGTATAGCGCCCCCCAGATCATGTTACCAGTCCGAGGGGGCCATCCAAATGCTGTAACTGTCGTCACTCTGGGGCCCTTGAACTTTGAATCTGGAGGAAGTCTGGAGCGGGAGCCTCGTCTGTTCGAGAATCGCGAGGGAGTCTCAGGTGTCAGCCCCGTCCGATACGGCCCCCCCAGTTCATATCACCAATCAGCGGGGGTAGGAACTTCAGCGGCGACGTGCTGATGCCGGTTGAGGCGGCAACAGCGCCAAGGAAAATAGGTTCGCGTGCCGCGGGTGGAGGAAGAGGAAAAGACAGGATGGCCGCCACACTCACAAAAGCGACGGTGAGGATCACGTCTGGCAAGTCCGTAAGGGCTTCGCCCTCTGCCGCTGGCCCCTTCCCTATCGTAGCGGAAGGCGTCCGAGCTATGATGGGACGTGTCGGCGCTGCTTTGCACACCTCAAGCGATCACAGCTAGGCAAAGTGCCTGCAGTGGAGTCCAAGGAGACAGAGAGGATCCTGGCCAGTTGCCAACTGACACGTCGGCCAAAGGCTGGAAGCAGAACGAGAAAAGGCGCTTGGCTTTCAGCCAGCAGGCGCCCCGAGAGGTTGGAATTGCTGTGGAGCGCTTTGCCTCCACCTCGGAGCGCGGACCTGGCGCACTGGCCAGGGGCATTGCGGCCACGGGGCTGCATGGGGCACTCTGGCCTCGGGGGGGCGCGAGTCACGAGCACGGTGCAGGGGCCTCTGGCTTCGGGAGCACGAGCTGTGCTCTACGAGGGAGTTTGGCTTCGAGGGAGAGAGCACGAATCTCGTGCAACTTGGCATCGCTCGGACGTGTGCGTTTTTTCCTCGGCGAGGACCATCGAGGAGCATCCTTGACCATTTGGCGGAAAACCACGCACGAAACCGACAAAAACACAAAACATGGACGTCCGAGCGATGGCGAGGCAATGCATATGGATTCTGATTCGGGAACGCGGATCTGGTGCAAGTCGCAAGGCCTTGGCTTCGGGGCCGCGAGTCTGGCGCGCAATGTGCGACGGAGAACAGGTTCGGGCGTGCGAGTCCGGCGTGTGAGACGAGGGATCTGGCCTCGGGAGCGCGAGCCCGGGTGTGATTCGCAAGGGGTTTCTGGCCTCGGGAGTGCGAGCCTGGCGTGGAGCACGCTGCGCTCTGGTTTCGGCAGCGCAACTCTGGTAGTCCACTGGATTCTGGTTTCGGGAGCGTGCATCTGCTGCACGTTGCGAGGGGTTCTGGTTCCGGTCGCGCCAGCGTGGCGTGATTCAAAGGGACTCAGGTGTGGAGGGGGGCGGCGGCTTGTCTTGCAGCGCGGCCGCCCCGCAGCTTTTCGGTCTCCTCGCCCTCCATCGCTCCCTTTACTCCTCCTCCTCCTTCGCTCCTCCTTCGCTCCTCCGCTCCTCTGTTCCTACTCTGTTCCTCCTGCAACTCCTCCTCCTTCGCTCCTCCTTCCCTTTCCTCCTCCTTCGCGCCTCTTCGCTTCTCCTCGCTCCTCTTCGTTCCTCCCCACTCGTTTATGCCCTTCGCCGCAGTGGTCGCGCTCCTTCGCGCTCTCTCTGCTCGCTCCTCCTTGCCACTCCTGTCGCCGCGCTCTGAGCCACGAGGAACGGGGAGGGGGAGGAGGCCGCACAGGAGGAGGAGGAGGAGGAGGAGGAGGAGGAGGAGGAGGAGGAGGAGGAGGAGGAGGGAGGAGGAGGAGGAGGAGGAGGAGGATTAGGAGGAGGAGGAGGAGGAGGAGGAGGAGGAGGAGGAGGAGGAGGAGGAGGAGGAGCAGGAGGAGGCCAGAATCCAAAACTGCGGGTGTCTGGGCTCTGCTCCGAAAGCCCGGGGGGGTGGGGAAACCGAAACCAGGAGCCCCCGGTTCCCTCCAGGCTCTCGAGTTTGGGACTCTGGGCCCACCCTCCTGGGCCCCCGCCAGAGGCGGGGAGAGGACGACAACGGCGAGGGCGGCGGCGGCGGCGGAGGCGACGGCGGCGCAGCGGCCGAGGACCGGCGCGAGCGCGGCGCGTGGGCTGCCCGCATCTGCGACCTGGGCTCCGCGGCGGTGGTCGGCGGGGTCACGCCGCGGTCGCCGCTCGGGGGCACCTCGGGGTGGACCGCCCCGGAGGCCGCCGCCGCCGCCACGGCAGGGGTCGGGGGCGTTCATAGATCCAGAGCTCCCAAGCGAGGTCGGGGGGTGCTCAACGTTGGTTCCTGGACGTGGTCCTGCCTCGGGATGCGCTCCAGCGGCTGCGCCTCGCCGGGGGCGTTCCGGGGGATACCTGGATCGTCCCGAGCGGCCGCCACTGCATCGGCGATGCGGCGCGCTGTGGAGCCCCATCGTCTCCAACTCTACGACGCCGATGCATGGCCGACGTCGCCGATGCATCGCCTATGGTTCGGCGAATGCATCGGGGATGCGGCGCGATCCTCCTACTTCATCTACTCGGACCCCATTTGAGAGGCCTCACGGGCGACCGGGGCCTCTAGGCTCCCCAGACCGTGTGTAGACTGACCGTGCGGTGAGGTCTTTTGGGATCTCCAGTTCCCTGCGCGTTTTTTCACCGCACCGTCTATGGACCCCCAAACGATATAGGATTGTGGACGTCGATTAATGGAGAGGAAGCATGCTGCCAAATAATTTTCAGATGTGTAAAACATGTTTCAAACATGTGTCAAATATGTAAAAACATGTTTGAAACATGTTTAGAACATGTTTCCAGTTCAAACACATTTGTAATTCAATTGAGAAGGCGAAAACCCACCCCCACCCCCAGTCCCGACGCCCACCCCCGAGCCCGCGATCCGGGGGGTCGGGACTGGGGGTGGGGGTGGGTTTTCCCTACTCCTGGGCCCCGAAAACCCACCCCCACCCCCAGTCCCGACCCCCCGGATCGAGGGTTCGGAGATGGGGTCGGGACTGGGGGTGGGGGTGGGTTTTCCCCTTCTCATCAATGATCGGATGGATGGTTTGAGTGTCCACTGTCATGGCATCCACAAATAGAGGATCGAGGGGTTTTTTAATGAGATTGGGCCCCCAGGGGGGCTCCTCGTCGCCACGGCTGGGTTCCCCTTCGGAACCGTGGTCGGAGCGCGTTTGGCTCTGGTTGTTTCCCTCCGCAGGCGAGTGCCAGACTCACGACCCCGTGCCCCTGTTAATGATTTCTCCCGTCCTTCCCATACCGCTTCCGCTGCCATTTGCTTTCAAGCACTGCTTGGCGCGAACGCGCCAGTGCTTCGGAACCTGTGCTTGTTGAGTGGCACCACGAGCCACTCTCAGACACGTTTGAATCAATCTCCTTGCTGTGTGCTACACGTTATTTGTTCTAGACCTCTGTGCTTACCACAGGAGATCGCAGGATCCCAACGATTGGTTATCAGCCGTGGTCACTGGAGGCTGAAACGATGGCATCACCAGACGACCATGCTGGCGAGTGCTCAGGAGCTGCAGGAGATTTCGTCGTTGACACCATCCCCATGAAGACGGCGGCAATAGTTGGGAAGATTACGTCCACAAGGAAGCCCCAGTGGCATTTCAAAGGGCTCCCTCACCCGGTCCAGGTGCGATTTCTCCAGGGGGGGCGCTGCAGATGACCGAGAAGACCGGCCCATCCCGTAATTGGAGTCCCCCCACAAGGAAAGGCGCTGCTGGGATCTCGCCATTGGAGCCCCCCCCCCAGGAAGCCGCCGGCGGACGCTACGAATCGGATCCTCCAAGTACGGGAGCCCACCATGAACCCCAGAGAACCAGACATGCGACGTCCTGAATTTTTCAGTTCGGCGTTCTCGGAAGTCCAGACCCTTTCCCTGGGGCCGGTTTTTCATCCTGAGTCGTTTTTTGACAGTGCCTGGGCCCGGCGAGGGCCCTCAGGGGCCGAAGATAGTGAAAACCTCCCGTCGTGATTTTTTTTCAGCGCGAGGAGGTCTGGGAAGCGTCCGGGGCAGGCTCCCGTAGTCGCAGCTCCCTCAACCTTGGCATCGCTCGGACGTGTGCATTTTTCCTTCGGCGAGGACCATCGAGGAGCATCCTTGATCATTTGGCGAAAAAAAAACACACGCACGAAACCGAAAGAAAAACACAGGGAATGGACGTCCGAGCGACGGCCAGCAACGGCAGCCCATCCGTTGACCTTTCCCACGGGAGGCGGGGGCCCCTTCCCATGCTCGGCTGGCCATTGCAGGGGCCCCTGCCCTAGCGCTCCGCGGCGTGCGGCCGCGCGGACGTGCCGCCCCGCGCGGCCCACCCCTACCGAGCCCCCCCCCCCCTCTCCCGGAAGTGCTGCCGAGGAGGAGGAGGAGGAGGAGGAGGAGGAGGAGGAGGAGGAGGAGGAGGAGGAGGAGGAGGAGGAGGAGGAGGAGGAGGAGGAGGAGGAGGAGGAGGAGGAGGACTCCGACCCCCCCCGCACCCTCGGGAGGGCCGCCGCGCCGCCGCGGCCCCGCCTGCGCCGCGCCCCTCGCCAGGTGCTGGCCGAGGCCGCAGGACGGCCCTCCCGCCGCCGCCGCCGCCGCCGCCGCCGCCTGGGGCCGCCGCCGACTGGGGCCGCCGCCGCCGCCCTGCGCGGTCCCCGCCTCGGGCTTCCTGGGCCTCCTGGGCCTCCTGGGCCTCCTGGGCCTCCGGGGTTCAGGGCCTCCTGCATGGGCCTCCTGGATGGGCCTCCTGGGTTCGGCGTCCTGGATTCTGGGCCTCCTGGATGGGCCTCCTGGGTTCTGGGCCTTTTGGATGGGCCTCCTGGGTTCTGGGCCTCCTGGGTTCTGGGCCTCCTGGACGGGCCTCCTGGCGTTCTCTGGGCCTCCTAGACGGGCCTCCCGGCGTTCTCTGGGCCTCCTGGGCGGGCCTCCGGTTCTGGGGGCCTCCCGGCGGTGGTCCTCGAGGAGGCTCGCCCAGGGTTCTCGGGGCCTCCCGGGTGGGGTCCGAGCAGATGGGGTCGGAGGGTCGCGCCGCATCGCCGATGCGTCGGCGCTGCGGCGCGATGGAGCCCGATCTTCTCCACGCGGACGTCGCCGTGGCGTCGCCGACGTCGCCGAGGCATCGCTGACGCATCGGCGATGCGGCGAGATCCTGCGTCCCATCTGTCAGGAGGGGAAGGACACACACAGACACAATGAATCGTCTGTTCCTTAGAAAAGATGGGAAAATGTGGGGAGTGGGGGGGAAGACGGACATTCCCAGAATATGCGAACAAGTGTGGGGAATCCTCTTATTTGTGTGTACTTGTTTGTGTGTCCCTGGTCCCTGTCCAAGGCGTACCGTTTCCTGCACATCCACTTCGGCACCGCCTGCTCCCCGGGCCCCGCCCGCTCCGGCCGCCTGAGGCCCCGCCTTCCCGTGCCCTGCCTCCCTACTCAAAAGCCGTGCGTAGCCCGCTCAGCTTTTGGCGGGAGAGGTTCGCTCTCGCCCCGCAGATCAACATTGCTCGTGTGTCCCTGGCCCCCTTTCATCTGCTCCGACTCCATGGGGGGAGAGGCCTCCGAGCTCTCCCGATGGGCCCTCCTGCGGGCCCGCGCCGCCGCGGCGGGACGTGGCTCGCGTGCAGCCGGCCGGGGTGGGCCCGGGAGGGGCCCCGGAGGCCGGCTGTTCGAGCGGGCCGGCGTCCTTCCCAGAAGTCGGGGGCGGCAAAGAGGGGGGTGATGACTACCCTGACCTTCCAGCAGGGCTAAAAAATAGCACCAGGACGTCAACGTCCTAATTCCTGTCGAGGTTTGAGACAGTCCAGATAGATCTATAGGTCTGGAGTGCTATTTTTTAGCACTCTGGAAGGTCAGGGTAGGGGGGGTGGACATCATGGCGTGGGCCATGATATCTCCCCAGATTTCGTGGCGCCTCTTCTTATTTCGTCACGTCCCTGGCCCCCCCGCTGGGCCGCGCACGTGCCGCCGGTCATGATTTGCACCCCCCCCTCTTGGACACCCCCCTCTCGGCCGCTCCCGAAGAGGAATTCGGGAGGCTGAGCTTTCAGGGGCAACGATAGGGGGGGATAGGCATAGGGGTTGAGGCATCGACCCCAAATCGCCCATTGATCGCCGGTAGGGGTCTGATAGCACCAACCCGCCCAGGAAGGTGCGGATTCACTATCGGGGGCCTATCGCCGATGTATGGGCGATGTATCGCCGCACCCCAATGCCAGTCCTCCCCTATCGTTGCCCCTCAAGCTTATGTCCCGAATGGCTTTTGTTAATGACGGGCTTGGGATGCATGGTATGTCTTGAAAATTCGCGCTTGCTGAGACGCGCTTCTGAGTACTTGTGTCCTAAACGGGGGGGGTTCAAGACAGCAGTAGTGTAGAGGATGTGTCGTAAAAGGGCGGCGCCGCTCTTGTGTCTTACAGCAGCCAGAAGCGGTTGCGCCGTGTGGCCCCACCCCCGCTTTTCAACACACGCCTTTTTTGACACTCCGCGCTGCCCAAACCAAGTCATATCGATGCCGACGCCTTCCCCTCGTTCTCGTCATCGTGGGCCTACTCGTGGGGGGCCCTCGAACGCTCCTAGAGAAAGAGAGAGAGAGAGAGAGAGTGGCCTGCGGCCAACCTTTGCTCGGGAAAGGCCAAGGTACAGTCGGGGCCCTGAAGAAGGAACCCTTTTCGTTGGGGAGGGGCTCCGCGTTCCTTAAGTGTTTCACAGCTTGCCTCAGGCTTTGCTTATGTTTTCGACAGGATTCGAAGGTTAACTTATGGAAAAAAGGGGCCTCGTTCCTTATTCAGGGTTCCTTAGGTCAACGCCCCGACTGTACTTTGAGCATGACTGGAAGTCAGATATCGATCTCTTCGGGCGTCTCCCTCCCCCGGCGTCCGTTTGGAAGGTGGCCACCAGACCACAGTACTATTTCTGTCGAGTCCAAGAGATGATCACTCTCACGCACTTCGCACGTGGTAATCATGCATTCTTCGCCCAGAGGTCTGGTGGGATCTCCGCGCTGACATGCGCTATGTTTCAGTGGGCGCGTGACACAGTGAGAATGTCGAGGCTCTTCCATATTCCCTGGCATCGGCTGTGCCGCCCCCGCGTCCCGATGGGCTGCAACGCATGCCATTCATGATGTGCAACGGCAGACGTGGCCTGATGGGCTCGCGCCATACCCAAGCAACCCATAGCGCGCAAGTAGGGTGGGCATCTTGAAGGTGCACATGACTGTTCCACTTCATGACTATATTAATCTTGCACTGTTCGCGGTAAGTTCACGTGGGAATTGGTTGGTGAGCAGAAACGATTGTGGGAGTTGGTTGGCAGAAGCTTGATCACCGCCTGCACCGAAAGAGGAGCGGGAATAGCACAACCAATTCGGAGATATAGGCCAAGCAGGCGTATGAGGATTATGAGAAGGCTATCATGCCGAGAGATCGGATGTTCAAAACGGTAGCATTCGAGACCATACGTTGAGCTGCCTGCGGCGCCCGCCATTGCCCACATGAGTTTTGCATGCAGGACACATCGACAAGTCTTGCACATCGAAGGGTTGTTAAGGCAGTTGTTGACGACATGGAGCAACTAATTTACCAGCATCCTCGAAATATTGTACTGCTCGGATCCTCGCCATAGCGAGTTTCCGATTCGCCGATCGCAGTGATTGGTGTTCCCGCAGGGGGATGAGCCAGACGAATATGCACGGAGGAGAAGGTGGGGTGAGTACCTTTGTTTTGCTTGTTGCGTGCTGTCTTTTTGAAACGGTGCCGCTCTCGGTGAGCGTCCCGCTGGGATTGTTCAGAAGCTCCGTCCATGCGGCCAGGTCTGCAAATGTCCTGCCGCGGCGTGAAGCGCCTCGAAAGGTTACGCTTCCCAGCGCATTCGTTTTGGGAGCTGGCTTTGGATTTCATAGATGCGGTTTTCGTTACCTAGGTTGCGAGTGCACGTGCAATGTTCAAACATTGATGGTGACCCGTCGAAGCGCACAGCTCGTGGCCTTGTGCGCAGCACTTGTTGAGGTTTCATTACGAGGGTCGTGTCGTCATCACCTTGATTGCCACATTTTCCTCTTCATCACGACGTTTCCTTCCCATGGCAAAACTCTGATTCAGGCGATCTGCCAGATCTGCGGATGGCAGACGTCTTCAGCTTCGGCGTGGTCATCTGGGACCTGCCGCGTGTTTGTAACTCGCTGGTCAGAAACTCCATGTCGGAAGCTGGGCATTAGCGTAATATTTGTCGAGGTTTAGCGAGCTTCCAAGCGAGCCTGGCTCAGTTTCCAAGATCCTTCTTGGACATACGGTTGTTAACATCGGGCTGTCATGAGGATATGCTACGTTATGTATGGAGTGTGACATTTTTTGTTTCTCTCTCTCTCTCTCTTTCTCTGTCCAGGGGCACATGCCTGCATCGCTGGGGTGGGGTAAGCATTCGCCACCACCAGGGCTCCACAGGTTCAGTTTCCGCCCAGGTGCTGCAATGGGAGCCGTCTTGTGTTCTTGCAGGTTGTGGGAGGCTTGGGAGGGCCAGAGATGGTCGTCCGGCCCGCCACCAAAAGTATATTCACGGACGCCTTCCAGTGGACGTTTCCTGGGCCTCAGGGGAGGGTGGCGGTGTACAGATCACTGCTGGGAGCCGACGACTTTCTGCACCGCCGCCTTCCCTGAAGACACGCGCAGAGTTCGTCGGAGGGTGTCCGTGTACATATTTCCATGCAGGGCTGGGCCTAAACGGTTTTTTGTGTGATATTTCGTGGGCCGTTTTCGTTTCGACCTCGTTCTGCGAAAACGAGAAACGCCGTTTAGGTTCAGCCCTGGCTGGTCCCCCCCTTTTTCGTTCCGCGGATCGCGGAGTGCGATGCGACGGCAGCGGCCTGCACGCCTGGGTCTGGCCGCCCCCCCTCCTGGAGACCGCGCCCATGGTCACGCGTGCGTGCAGCAGGAGGAGGAGGAGGAGGAGGGAGAGGAGGAGGAGGAGGAGGAGGAGGAGGAGGAGGAGGAGGAGGAGGAGGAGGAGGAGGAGGAGGAGGAGGATCAGGAGGAGGAGGAGGAGGAGGAGGAGGAGGAGGAGGAGGAGGAGGAGGAGGAGGAGGATCAGGAGGAGGAGGAGGAAGAGGAGGAGGAGGAGGATCAGGAGGAGGAGGAGGAGGACGATCAGGAGGAGGAGGAGGAGGAGAAGGAGGAGGTGCAGCCCTGTCTTCGTGGAGCACCCCGGGGCTGACCCTTGGGGGGCAGCCTCCTCGGCCGCAGGGCCGCTCCCGGGGTCGGCGGACGGCGGCCCCGCGCCACGGGAGAGGCGGGAGGAGCGGGAGGGCGGGAGGTCTGCTCTTTGTGGAGGTCGATCAGTGGAGAGGAAGCATGCTGCCTTTTTCTTTCCAGACGTCTAGAACATGTGTCAAAGCTGTTTAGGGGAACGGACGAAAACAAACCATACGAAAACAAAACTAGAACAAAACGACAACCGAAACAAGGAAACCGTTGAGGTTCGGCCCTGTTCTCGTGGAGTACCTGGGGATGAGAAGTCCCCCCTGGGGGGGCAGCCTCCTCGGCCGCAGGGCCGCTCCCGGGGTCGGCGGACGGCGGCCCCGCGCCACGGGAGAGGCGGGAGGAGCGGGAGGGCGGGAGGTCTGCTCTCTGTGGAGGTCGATCTGCAGTCGGGGTCCTGAAGAATCGGGGGTGGACAGAACCCCCAACAGTGACACGTCGATTAGTGAATTGTCCGTTTTCGGTTCTCGAGAGGGCGCCGTGGCCGTCATTTTCCAGGCTTGCGCCCGCCAGGTTTGGGCCTCAGGTCGTTTTCACTAAACCACGTTTTACTAAAGGGGTGTCTGTCCATCCCCGAAAGAAGGAACCCTTTTCGTTGGGGAGGGGCTCCGTGTTCCTTGATCGTTTCACAGCTTCCCTTGTGTGTTTTCCCTAGGTTTTCGATGGGAGATCGGAGTTTAGCTCATGGAAAGAAGGGGCCTCGTTCCTTATTTCGGGTTCCTTGGGTCAACGCCCCGACTGGAGAGGAAGCATGCTGCCAAATACTTTCCAGATGTCTAGAACGTGTTTTAAGAATCGTGGAGGTCTCTGCTCCTGTGGATCTAATGTTATGGTGTTCCAGCCTGCTTCTTGGCATCGCTCGGACGTGTGTATTGTTCCTTCGGCGAGGGCCATCGAGGAGCATCCTTGATCATTTCGCGAAAAAACCACGCAAGAAACCAAAAAACACAGGAAATGGACGTCCGAGCGATGGCCAGACTTTAGCTTTGATCACCAGAAAGAATGTCGAGCGCCAGAAAAGTACCCCAATAAACTCAGGGTTTTCACGTGTCGGGCCCCGGGAGACACTCGCCCGACACCGTGTCGACACTGCTTCGACACTCTCTTGACACTTTTCCGGGTGCTCGAAATTAATTTCTGGGATGTGGTCCTTAATTAGGATGGGGGCAGCATAGGATTAATGGAGAGGAAGCATGCTGCCAAATAATTTCCAGATGTCTAGAACATGTGTTAAAACGGTTTGAACACATGCAAAACATGTGTCTATCAAATTTAAGATGTTTTCCTATATGTTAAACCCATTTCTTATTCGATGATAGGTCTGTTAGGGTGTCCATTGTCGTGGCATCCACAATCCTACCACTTGCTCGTGCGGCGAGCGAGGGGGGGAAGTGAGAAGCAGAAGGCCTTCTCAGAAGGCGGCGAGACTTCTCAGGAGCGCTCGCGCCCTCCGAGAGAGTGCCCGGTGTGCCTTCGGGTGAGGCTCAGGACACTTCTCCGAAGGCTGGGGGGGGGGACTTCCGAGCCTTCTGAGAAGGCCCACCCCTCCTCGTTTCCCCCCCGGGCTCGCCGCCGACTTCGGGCTTCCCTTGCGCTCCTCGTCGCGCTTCCCACCGTGCCCCTCGGCCACGCCCGGAGAGGGCGTCCCGAGCGGGCCCGTCCACCCTGCGCTCCACCAGGACAACACGAGCGAAGCCGGCGCCTCCCCCTCGTCCTGTCCTTGGCATCGCGCAGACGTGTGCGTTTTGTCCTCGGCGAGGGCCATCGAGGAGCATCCTTGACCATTTGGCGAAAAAACCGCGCACGAAACCGAACAAAACTCAAAAAATGGACGTCCGAGCGATGGCATGGGCGTCCTGTCGGCATGGACGTCCGGCGCCTCCCCCTCGTCCTGTCGGCGTGGGCGTGCGCCGCCGTCGACGCTGGCCAGGCCCGTGGCCGCGAGGCGGCGCGGCGCCGCCCTCGCCGCGGCGTCGCGCGGCCGGCTCCCGAGGGCTGCGCTCCTCCCCGTATGGGCGCCGCGCACGCTCGCGCCTCCCTCTGCCGCGCCCGTGCCACGGCGGGCCGGGCGTGCGAGAGCGGCATGCGTGTGCGCGTGCGAGAGCGGCATGTGTGTGCGTGTGTGTGTGTGTGTGTGTGTGTGTGTGTGTGTGTGTGTGTGTGCGTGCGTGCGTGTGTGTGCGTGCGTGTGTGTGTGTGTGTGTGTGTGTGTGTGTGTGTGTGTGCGTGTGTGTGTGTGTGTGTGTGTGTGTGTCGTGGAACCCCTGTGTCCAAGGGGCGGTCGATCGTGCAGTCAGGACGGGCAGGGTGCAGATTGCCATCTGGAGGGGGCCAGCGATTGGCATACGGGGCGCTGGCCAACGAAGACCCCCACATGCCAAGGTGCCAACGTACCTCCATGTACATAGTTTTTTAGGTCTTGGATCAGGCATGGGAAGGGGAGAGGGGAGTGCACTAGTAGTTCGACGGCATCCCGTTCCATCATTTACAAGTGTGTGTGTGTGTGTGTGCGTGCGTGTGCACTTGAGGAAGGTGATTTTGACGCGCCGTCGACGGCAACACCACACCGCTCACCCTCCGGGACTTCGCCTCCGGCTCCTGTCCAAGGTGTACTTTTTCCTGTGCAAGCTCTTCCGCACCGCCTGCACCCCGCGCCCTCCGGCCGCCTGAGGTCCCGCCCGCCCGCGCCCTGTCTCCCTAATTGGTGCTTTGCGCGGCCCGCCTAGCTCTTAACCGGAAGAGGCTCGCTCTCGACCCGCAGACCAAAAAGTGTGTGTGCGTGTGTGCAGCGCTCGCCCGAGCGCCGCGTACATGCTTCCTGGAAGGTGCTTCTCCTGCTTGGGCGTATGATGCTCCAACCTACGTTCGCCTTGATCACCAGAGAGAAATTCGAGAGCCTGGAAAAAGAACGAAACTCGAAGGTCTTCACGTGTCGGGCCCTGGGAGACACTCGCCCGACACTGTTTCGACACTGCGTCGACACTCTTTTGGCACTTTTCCGGGTGTTCGACATGATTTCAGGGATGTGGCCCTTAAGTAGGATGAGAGCAACATAGGCTTGGGCGCGACGCGTGTGCCCGCACACCAGGCCATCGGGAGCGGGGCTGCGCGCGGGGCAGCTCAATTTTGCTCCCGCGGAGGCGTCGCGCAGGTTCCTCCTGTCCGCTGCGCTCCCGCCGGGGCGCGGCGGACTTGTCGCTCGGCCGCCAGGGAAAGGGGAGGCGGGGCCGCGCGTGGGAACATTCCGCGCTCTCATCGCCCGGTTTCGATCTCCAGCTGCGCCCGCGCCGCCCCTTGTTCCCCAAGCGCAGTGCTTGCATGCGTCAGTCGAGGAGCTGGTCGGGCGTTCTGGGTTTTCAACTGCTCGTGGGGTGGGCGCCCCCCATGCTGGGGGGGTATGCCTAGAGCCTCCGCCCGGGGCCCTTCTCGGGGCGCCTCGTGGGGGGGGGCTGGGGAGGGGGGGGGGCTGGGTGGCTGAGGGTGCGCCTGGTGCCCGCCCGTGGGCGCGCCCCGCGCCGAGGGAGAATGCCGAGGCCCCCCCTGGTCGCACGCGCGGCAAGGGACCTCTCAAGCTTCTCGCCAGGCCCGCGCGGGGGCTCCACAGGAGCAGGAAGGCTTTTCCCCTGGCCGCACGCGCGGGAAGCGACCCCTCGAGCTCTCGCCAGGCCTGCGTGGGGCCCACACGAGAGCAAGAAGGCTACGGATCCTGGGGAAATCTGTGCGCGGCCGCGGCGGGCCCGCCGCGCGCCGCAGATGCGGCAAAGACCGCTACGGATGCGCCTCCGCGCGGAGGCACAGAGCCGCGCTCGAAAGGCTCGAAAGGCAGCTGCGGAGCTCGGGCCCGCAGAGGCAAAGGGTGCGGACGGCGCTGCACATCGCAGGGCCCCTGGCGCCGGCTCGCGGG